TTTTTTTTTTTTCCCAACAACTAGAAAGATTTGAACTTGTATCTTGGTAAGTTTTGGTCTTCAGTGGAGTAGTGGCTTGTAGACCCAGCAGTGACACCAAACCCTTCTACCCCAGGCATGTGCTTCTACAACTATAGAAGGTAGAAATTCTCTCCACTGATTTTAAATTCAGTATTGACTATTTGTCTTCCTGCAAAACTTGCAGTATGGAAACACTTCCCTATCCCTAAAATCAGCTCAGGTGTCAAGGATGAGGCAACTTTTCTGCAAGGCTGTCTCTTCCTGTCCTCTGATGCAGATTTAATGTGTTGTTTTTCCAGGTGACCCTCCACAGGCTGCTGCCTGGATTGGCCAGTGTATCCTCTACTTGCTGATAATGGTTTTTGAGAAGACTGTGATTAGCCTTGTCTTGCTTATCCCTGGTTGGACAAAGGTAAGCTGTATTTTTCTAGCCCCGGCTGTTGTGGTTTGCCTCTTGTCAGCTTTGCCTGATTCCCATTATCATAGGCCTTTAATCCTTAGGACTTGTTGACAACCCTCTGTAATAATTAGCTATTACTTAAGTTTTGGGAAACGTGACTTTCATAATGGTTTGGCTTTTGGTACATTCTCTTGCTAGTCAAAAGCTTGTGGAATAAGATGATGCTTTAATTTTCTTTCCCCTTCTTGGAAGGATGGAGTGGGCTGGGCTGGCAGCTGAGCCACTTCAGTTCTGCCAGAGGATTTCTACATTATCCTGTCAAGTCAGTCCATGTGGTGTTTTGTGATCCTGTGCCTAAACTAAGGGGACTCTTAGAGATTGATTTGTAAAGTCTCCACGTAACATGATGTGCTTCTCCCTTCAGCTACTCCCATATGGTAGTTGATGCAACGGTAATTGTGTTGATCACGAGTTTCTCTTTTAAAAAAAATGATAGGCTGTGACAAGTAGGTGTAAAACCCAATTCTGGGAGTCAGTGGGTAACTCCAGTTTGGAGTACACTTACACATGGTGCCTGGTACCTCACAGGCTGATGTGACTTGACTGAAGAGTTACAACAGTCTGGGAACACTTATCTGTTCCAGTTCAGGGCTTGTCCTTCAAACCCAGTAGCCTACAGTGATTACACTTGGATGTGAACATGTTCAGTAGCACACACTGCTGGATCCAGAGATGCTGCTGGAATCCTCTCCATGATTATCTTATGTGGCTGGTGTCCTTGTTCTGCAGCTAGGCTCCAAAGAGCCAAGGGAAGTCCCACCAGTTGTCATGGATAGCTACACTGAAAGACTCACAGTACTTATTTCTGTACAAAATCATGTGTTTGGCAGCTGGGCTAAGGGAATATCCCATGGAGTCTTTCTAAGAGCAGCACTGAAGCTAAGGTTGCAGAGCCCTGGCTGGGAGACTGCTGGTGGAAGAAGGCAGTCAATATAATGTTCAAATAATGCTTCTAAATTGTTTTCTCCTCTGCAGCTTCAGCAGATCCTCCTGGGTTATATCCCAAACCCCCAGCTGGAGCTCGTCCTGGTGATGCTTGTTGTGCCTTTCATAGTCAATGTAAGTGGTGCCCCTGCAAGCACTGGGTGGGCTGGTTTGGAAATCAGGGTCCACCCCCATGGGGAGTGTGCACAGGGACTGGCTTGGGGACAACCTTGAAGGGGCTGGGATGGGGTGGATGGGAGTGGAAACAAGTATATCTGTTACTACTGCCCTACCATGGTCTATGTTCCCAGTTTCTGTCCCTCTGTCTAACCTGCTGGGTGGCCGATTCTTCACCTCTTTGAATAACGCTGGGGTTTGTTAGCTGAAGGCTCATCTCAGCAGCAAACTACAGGCACAGGGATGCCCCCAAACCCTTTAAGCTCTTTGTGACCTGAGTAACCTGCCAATCCATCCACTTGGCTGGACTTCAGCTTGTGTTACAGCAAGGCAAAGTGTTCGGGTGACACAGAACTTTTGTTCTTCTTGGAACTAGTTTGGCAAAACCTCTTGAAAGCTCAACTCTTTCATGGTTCCCCTGATTATGGGTAATCACTGATGTTAGACAGTTCCTGCTAAGATGGGAAATGAGAACAAGGTATTAACACTCAGATGCTCCCTGGACAGGTAGTGACTCAGACTCTGAGCTCATACCATGAACATTGCAATGGATGCACCATTGAAAAAGTTGGGGTTTCCAACCTCTCTCCAGCACTCCAGGCTGCATTTCCTGATTTGAAAGCAGATTCTGGTTTTCAAAGAACTGACGAGGGACTGGTGCAGGCAGATGAACCTTGAATGAAGCTTGGTTCATTGGTTATTTTCTGGTGGAAACTTGGCCTATTGTGGTCTGTTTTCCTCTGGGTCTTCAACAACTATGGAATCAGTAGGATTTGTATAAGGGACCTCAGGAATTTGGCTCATCCAACCTCCGTGGACCGAATTGATGCAGTGTTAGTTCGGATATGAGGTTGATCAAGGCTGGACATCTGGAGAAACCAAAAGGAGAAGAAATATCTGTGATTGAATGACTCTGTATTTTGGTCTTTGCAATCTATTCACGTAACTTCTTTCTCCCCAAGGCCATTATGTTCTGGGTTGTGGACAGCTTGATCATGAGGAAACATAAGCAGAAGGACACCCTAGACATCAATGGATCCATAGAAACTCCTCGGGTTAGGAGGACAGAGGAATCTCAGGTAAGAGCAAGGATGCAAACCCGTGTTTGAGACCAAACTGCAAACTTGTGGGGTGGTCTGTGTGCTATACAGAGACAGTACAATGTACCATCGTGTTCTCCAGACCTGGAGTGGTGCTTCATGAATGGGGGTGATGACCCTGTGAAGTCAAACGAATTCTTGTCTAACCATCAGC